TCTCCTCCACCACACCTGAGCAGGTACATGACCAAACATGTCTGACCACGGAAGAGGCAGCGACAGAGATGGGCGGGTCATTGTCACCAAGGTTCTCCTCGGAGGGCCCCTGGCTCCCCCCCCCGCACTCTCAAGCCAGTTCAGGAGAGGACGGGGAGCAGGGGCTTCTCGGTGGTGGAACCCCTTCCTGCTGCTGAGCAGGGGGGTCTTCTGGGAGCAGGGCAAAAGGCTTTTAGAAACATTGGCCAGGCCCTTTTCCTATCAGTTCTCTGATCCACCCTTACACACGGGAGGGTTCCTTCCATGACCGGCCCACCCCTGGGGCTGCTGGGTTTTTTTTTTCACCCATTTATTTCTATTGGAAAGTATTTTGCTTCAAGGAAAAGGAAATCAGCTTTACATGCAGCGCTAGAATTTAACTTTCACAGCAGGAGGAGAGATCAAACACTCAGCAGCCTATTTTGGGGGCATCCATTGGAAAAGAATGTTTTTACAATGCAGTTTTTCTTGTCAGAGGGCTATTTTGCCCACCCTTGTTTGCAAACTGAAACTGTAACTATGAAAACACGGAATTCTCTTGATTTTCAAAGGCAACGGCAAAGCAGATACATTTGAGAAAGCAAAACCTCATTGGAAAGTTTGTAGCCCCTCCGGCTACTCACCCACCCCGGCAAAAACACACTGCTAGATTAAACAATAGCATTGAACAGCCTCTTAATTCAGTAAGAAACAGGAAGGGAATTCTGCAACAGAAATTTCCTGCCTGCCATACACAAGGAAGAATATTTACTATTCAACTTTCAAAGCAGATAAGCCACGTTTCCCTAGGTTTGCTAAAGCTTTAAGCTAAACTGGCTATTTTATAAGAGGGTCCAAAGTTACAGAATGGGGGCCTTTCTTTTTCTCAGCAGGATCCATCCCCTAGGATCTACCGTGACACCTGATAATGTTTCCTTTTGATGACAAGACTCAGAATCCGGGCTGTGTTGAAGCAGGCCGAGCAGGAGCCGCCACACACACAAATGCTGGAAGGAGCCCAGAGGGGCAGCAAGTGGCTAGTCCTCAGTGAGGGGGGAGGGTCTCCAACCAGGCCTGGCAATCGCCTCTCCCTCTCTGGAAGCCCTGCCTGCTCTCCGGGAACCCACCAACGAGCCAGCGGCCAAGGGGAAAGGCCCCCTGCTCCCCCCCCCGTGCTGCCCGGGACATGCTGAGCCCCACACCTGACCTCTTCCACCCGCCCAGCCGTGGGCCTGAGAAGGGCACCCAGGGCCACGGCTAACCAAGGGAACCTTGGGGGCCCCAAGGGAGCCTCCCCTGGGCTCCAGCGTCCCCCAGAAGGATTCTCTGCTGGTCCTGGTGTCCTGGGAAAGGCCCTTTGCACATGCCCAGGGGCACGGTCCCCCCTGCACTCCCTTACCCTTACCCCACCCTGCCTTGCATTCCGTTACTCCCGCCTTTCTCCGCCAGGCGGTAGACTGCTCCTGCCCGCGGAGGCTCACCTGCCGGAAGCTGGTGGTGGTGGCAGCGGCTACCCTGGTGCCGTTGAGCAGCGGCGTGGCCTCCCCTGGGCCGAACGGCTCCCGCTCCCGGCCGGACCACGACACCTTCTTGGCCACGTTCGCCATCACCCCAGGAGACCAGGAGGTGCCCGGGAGCCCCGCCGGCCAGGCAGCCAGCCAGCGAGCGAGCAGGAGCTGGAGCCGGAGCAGGCTTAGCCAGTGATCATGTGATGCGCCTGCAGCTGGCTTGGGCACGTGACCCCCCTCCCCCTCTCCCCTTCCCAAAGTATCTTGGGAGTTGTAGTCCCCGCCTGGCTCTTGGGGGGTTCTTTTCTCCTCCTCCCTCCCTCTCTTCCTTCTTGCTTGCCCCTCCCCTTCTCTCCAAGGCAGAACCAGTTTCTTATATATATATAGCTGTTTTTCTTCTACAAATTTGCCTTTATCTTCCATTCCTTTGTTTCTGTTGAGTTGTTGCATCTTCTTCCTGATGCCCTTGGGGAAATGCTTTAGAAAGAAAGCAGCTTTGCCAGGCCGTTTATTTGGAGGGTGGGAGGTGGTGCCCCCACTCCTGCCTTCCCTTCCTGCACAAAATCTTGCTTTTCCTCCCTGGGGGGGTGTCTCTTTTTCCTCCTGGCAGCCCCCAGCAGGCTCAGTCCCTCTTCCTCCCTCCTCTCAAAAAGAACCACAGTCCCCGTTTAGTAGGTCCAGCTGGAAGAAATCCTGTTGCACAACTAGAGTAGGCCCATTTGAATCAATGAAACTTGCAGAGGAGTTACATCAGCAAATCCTCTAGGGTTGAGCAAGAGTCTTCCAGCCTTTGCGTTTCATGGCTCAATGCAGGACTAGAACCTGGGTCTTCCTGAGTCCAAAACTCACCAGGGGCACCCCCCGTCTCTCTCAAAACACTCAGCAGGCTATTTGGGGGCAGGTACTTTTGCAGGGATCAGGGCCTAAACAGCACAACTTAGAAAAGGCTCTCCTTGCAACCCCAAAGGATTCTGGGAACTGTAGTCCCCACAGGTAACTTTCCCATCCTGGGTACCTGTTTTGCACACACACACACACACACACAGAGGTGTTTCAGGGCTCCATCCTCCTTCCAGTTCAGAAAAAAGGTGAGGGGCAGGCGATGGGGAGAACCCGAGCCCCCTAAAAGCTACCACCAGAGGGAAGGAGCGTCCCTGGACCCACGGTGGGCAAATGGCTTTTCTGTCTGCTCTTTCCACAACCACCCTGCAAGGCAGACCGGGACAGCTGCTGCTTTTTTTAAAAGCCTTTCTTCAGTCCACAGGGTCCTCTTTCCCACTTCCCTTCCCTCTTTCTCTCCCTCTCCTCCTAAGATTTGGGGAATCTCCCTGCCCTCCCAACCTGCAAAAGGGAAGCAAAGCAATTCGACTGACCCGTGAGGCAGGGTGATGATTCAGGGCCACCATCCTTCTGGCTCACGGCCCTGTCACTGGACTTTCCATCCTGGCCAGTTTTCCACCCCAACCCACCCCCAGCCGGCCCCAAGCCTTGTCGCGGGCATTTAAAGGGGCTGCCCTCTTCACACCTGGGCCTGCGGGCCTCAGCCCCACGGGATCCCCTAGGCCAGGAGCCAGACCGGCTGCGGACTGCTGAGAAGGGCCTCCTCCTCCTCCTCCTCCTCCTCGGCTGGAGAGCCTGCCCTGCCCCTTTTCTGCCCTTGTCTCAGCCCTTCTTTCCTTTCCTTCTCCACCGTCTGGGGTGTTTAGTTTCGGCAAAGGGAAGGCAAGGGAGAAATAGGGCTGACGAGAGAATAAAAAGGGCAGAAAAGGGCTTAGGTGCCAACCGGTGCCAGCCGCTAACTCCTCCCCACCCTGCACAATCCTGGGCATGTTCACACATAAGTCAGTCTCCCATATAAACATGCCCAGGATTGGAACCATGTGCACCTTTATTTGCACTAATAAATGCTATCAACCAGTGTGCATTTTGGAATTTGCACATGGCAACGTCTGCTTTCTTTTTTCTTGTTTAGAATTGCCACAAAGATCTTCTGAAACTATCCTGCTTGCCAGTTTTTTAATGGAAGGCAAAGGGAAGCATTTGCCTTCAGTAGCAGTGCTGAATTTTACTCTGGCGTAGGAGAAAATGTTGAAAACAGACATTCCAGGATGGAGGGATGGAGACAGAGAGAGAGATTCAAATCAAAACAAAGAAATGCTCTCCAAATAAGTTTTATACCCTATATATGCAAAATTCACTTGAAACAGGAGACAGTAGAATCAGATCTGGCTTGAACAATGTAAGAAAGGACGGCAATTTGTTACAAGCTAAAGAACAAAACCAAGGAGATTACAGGAGGAATTGCTATATTTCCTCCAGGATTTCCCACAAAGGACCTATAATTAAACAATGAAGAAGGAATATTTTTAGAAAGGATAACCACGTCATGAACCATCCTGAAGATGCGCCCGATGCCCTTGATTGCTCGCCATCCTCCGGTCACAGGGGGAAGGGGCTGGAGACGCCAAAAAGCAGTAACACGTGGGGGTGGGGGAGACGAGGGGGGGATGGCGCAGGCCTTTCTGATTCTTCCTCTCAGCATTTGTAAAAGTAAGAAAGCCGGGGAGGGAGAGGGGCCCTCAGCCCACGCTGGGTCCCTCCTGGCCGTTTATGGAAAAGGGGTTCGGCTGCAAATCAAACTGGAAAAGACCCCTCAACCTTCCACTGCACCGTATCGTGTGAATGGGGCTGCCCTTTGGTCAAAACCAGAATGAGAGCAAAGTGACCAGGACCCTAAGGAGGGAGGAGAGGGTTCCTCTTCAAAAAGGGGCCTGGAAGGCTAGCGCCAAAAAGGGGAACAAGGGGAGAGGAGACGGCCGCTGAAACCCAGGTCATACGAGAGAGAGCGCCCATGAGCGCGGGGCATGGCGGCTTTGAAAGCAGGCAGTCCACGCCACGTGTTCTTCAAGGGGGCCCTTAGGTGGTCGTTTGCTCTGGTCGTTTTCTAGCTGGGTTCTGCAACAAGGCACAGGGTGGATCCTCTTCTGGCGGCGTGTTGCAGATGTTGTTACTTCGGCTTCTGGATTTGCACCTGGGAGAAGCATTTACGTAAATCAGCTCGGCTTGCCACTTTTGGGATGGCCACGGCATCCTTCACCAGGTTTGCGGCCACCAGGGAGAACCGCCACCAGAGATGATAAGCCCCGCATGCTTGGGTCACGTGCCGCCTGGTGAGGACCTGTCGCGGGGGAGAAGAATCACAGGCAGTGTTCCAGGCAGGCGCAGCTCACTCTCCGCACGGCCCCGTGGAGGGCAGAGACGTTCGCCAGGGTCAGGATAGCACCACGAGGAAGGCCGTTCCCGGTGGCGATGCCGGAGACCTCCCCTGGCGAAAGGGCACGATCCCACATAGCAAAACCAGCCAGAAAACCCACAAACGATTCGGAGGGTTCGAATCCACCTCCTGGCACGTCTTGTTCCTGCCCCAGAACGAGAGATCCGCCGGGGGGAATCTTGTAGCCTTTCCGGAACTTGGACCCCATGGAGGCCAGCCTTCGGTCCACGTAGAACCAGTAACGCCCCTGGATGGAGGACCAGATGACACAGAGGTGGTGCCACTCGCCGTCCAGGATCCGTCCCACCGGCAGCTCCCGGAAAGCTGGGTCGCCAATGACAAAGTGGATGCTGTTCCGGGGGGCAGCATCCCGGCCGTGCAGCACCAGCTTGTTGTCGTTCTCTTCCGTGGCGTAAGACAGGATAGTGCCCAGATAGTTGGCATGGGTGCTCACCCACGTGCAGAGGCTCAGCTCCAGCAGTTCCGTGCTAAAACCAGGCTTCAGGGTCGCAAAGTTCTCAGAGGACATGTTGGGGAAGACCAGCATAGACTCTACATTGCAGACTGGGTGTGGGGGCAGGGGAGGAGAGAGAGGGAGAGAGAGAGAGAGAGAGAGAAGTCAAGCTTTACAATGCATTAAAGACAACATGGCCACAGAACTTCCCTAAGTGCCAGAAGACCGGTGGGTCACAGAAGGGGCTTTCGCTCAGGTCTTCAACTTGCATTTGAATGAGCTTTGTTTTGTGATTGGTCGGTGCAAGGTAAACAGGGACACCCTTTGCTAGTCTGATTGCCCGGCCTCACATTTCCACAGAAATGACATTTCCTGGGGAGAAAACAGGCCTCTGGCAGGCAAAATGCAAGTCTCCCAGAGTTTTGCTTGAGCCTGAGACAGAGAAAGCGGAGGGACCCTCCTCTGATTTTGGCTACTAAGCAGAGCCTGGCCTGGTTGGCCCTTGGATGGGAAACCCCCCCAGGGATGACGGGGGATCTCCAGAGGAGACGGGGAAAGAATCCTGTCTTGAACTCTGGAGGGCCGTGGCTGGCCCTCCGAGGCTGACCACCCTGGGCTAGAAGGCAGGCTCAGTGATAAGGCAGCATGGGGTGCCCCGATACATACTTTTCCCTGGCTCACGCGGTCCTGGCACCCCTTCTCGCTCTTCTGAGGCTGTATCCTCCGCAGCTGGACCTGGTTGTCCGAGACCCTGTGCTCCTGGCCGAGAGGACGGCGCCTCTGGGCCGAGCCTGCCTTTGAAGGGAACCTTCTGGCCCTGGAAGGAGCCGCTCAGCGTAGCTCTGCTCTGAGACAGGGCGGCGAGACGGAGGCTCTCCTCTTGCAGCTTCTTCCTCTGCCGATGCTTGGCCTGCAGCTTCTTCAGGGTCGGCCTCGGTCCTCCAGCGGCCTCCGTCTCCGTCTCCATCTCCGCTTGGGCAGGCTGGCTCAGGAGGTGGGCTGGGGCCAGGGGGCTGCCGGGCAAAAGAAGCACCTCGTTGTCCTCGGGCCTCTTTAGCCGCTGCTCTAGTTCGTCCAGCTTGCTCCCCTGGTTCTTCAGGGCATCCTGGAGACCCTCCACCACTTTCTGGAGGCTTCCCAGGCTGGCTTGGACGGCCCGGCCCTCCCGTTTCTGGCTCGCCACTTCTTGGGTTAAGTTGGAGAGGAGCGTCGTGTCACGTTCCTTCTCAGTTCCGCTCTCCTTCTCTCTTTCCCTCCAAGATTCTTCCACGGCTGCGATCCTGCGCTCTTGCTGCCGGCTTTTCCTCTGCAGCTTCTTTGTCCAGATCGTCAGCTGGCGCAGCTCTTCATGGAAGGCCGCTTGGGTCTCGTTGGCCGCCGTCTCCAAGCTCTCGTGCTTGCTCAGAAGGTGGCCAACCTTGGCGTCGATGTTGTAGGAGACGTTGTAGTTCCCCGCAATCTCCTGAAGGCGAAGGAGGGTCACCTCCTGAAAGCGGCGGAACTGGAAGAGAGAGACGGAAGAAACAGGGAGTGGGATTTTGTGCCTGGACCAGAGAGATGGGGAAGGGGTTTCAGGCTCACGATGGGAAAGACCCTGAACCCACCCAAGGCAGGATCCATCACCAAGGAGACTTGAACAGTCGAGAAGAGCTGAGCCGCAGAGAGGATGCCCGCTAACTTTATGGCTTTGGCTGCATTTGACGTTGCTGGTACCATGGTTTTGACTGCTGTGCAACTAGATTTAAGCTCCGCATTTTCTGATATTGAGAGTGCCCTGCAGAACTTCGAAACTTACCTGCTCATGACATTTTAGTTGCTCAGCAACTAATGGTATAATGAACCTTTGTTTTTAGAATAGCACACACACACAATAGCACACACACACACACACACACACATGGTATAATGAACCTTGGTTTTTAGAATAGCGTGCATACACACACATACACGCCGAATAACCATTCAAACCACCCTTTTTCTGTTCAGAGTCCTTCTGGAGAAGGTGCACTTGCTTCTTCAACCATTCAAACCACCCTTGTTCTGTTCAGATTCCTTCTGGAGAAGGTGCACTTGCTTCTTCCACCAATTAGCCACTAGTGAACAGCAGCAGCCTGCGTGCATGGGTGTAAATGGACGCACGTCTCTGGAGAGGGCTGCTAGATTATATATTTCCACCAGCCTCCTTGGAGCTGATGAGTAAAGCCCACTATATTTAGGAAGTGGCATTGCTATAATAAGGCGCGCTGTTATTTATAAGGTTAACTGGAAATCATTCCCCAGCACATTTGTGACTTACTAATGTGCCGCTGATTTTGTGAGTTACTCTGCTCCTCTCTGTTTTGGTCACTACTTCTCGTCTTCTGAAGAGCACTGGTGGTTGTCGCTGTTGTCTGGGCGGTGATTTCAAGGCAACAAAAACAATGAGGAGTCTGATAGCAACTTAGAAGACTAATGAGCCATGTCTTCATCTTTAAGATGCTACAAAACTTTTTGCTGTTTTTCTTAAGGTGACATAGCTATTTAAATTAATTTTCAAAGGTGATGATGGTCCTAACTTCAGTGAACTTGAAAGACATAGCAAGTAAGTGTGTGTGTGTATGTGTCCATACAAGTTCACTCTGAAACGAATTGGTTAGTCTTAAAACTTCCAGGCCACTTTTGTTTCTTTTGATGGTAGTCCATACAAGTTCACTCTGAAACAAATTGTTTAGTCTTAAAACTTCCAGGCCACTTTTGTTTCTTTGTTGCCACAACAGACAGCCATGGCTACTTCTTTGAAAATATCTGTTACATATTTCCTGTCGCACAAAATAATTGCTTTTTTGGGGGGCTATGCCTCCCAGAGTCTGGGGAAGACCAGCTGGGGGACATTCTGGGAACTGTGGTACACAAACGCTAACTTTTCCAGGAGACGGCCTTTGCCCAGTGGTAGAGTTTGGTCCTGGCAGGCAGGGCCCAGGCGGGTTGAATGTCACAACACCACCGTCGGCCTCCTTCTCCTGCTCGTAAGACAATCCAGCCAGTCCCAAAGTGGCATCTGGATAGCCAGCCAGCCAGCTGAAGGTCCTGCTGTGCTCGAGGGACAGATACTGTTGAGCATCAGATAGGATGATGGCCACTACGTACATTGGTCGTGGTTGGCCCACCTGAGTGGAAAACCCGACACGCAGCACAGCGGGCAAGTCCGGGCAGTGCCTCCTTGTTCAGGAGCTGCAGGTGGGGGGGAACTCTTTCACAGGCAGGTCCAGCTGAAGAGAGCCGCTCTTCCTGCGAAGGGACTCTCCTTGGATTCCCCCTCCCCTGCTAGGCGCAGTGGCCAGGCAGGGGCCCAAGGCGCTGGACGTCCCCTGCCCCAATGGGCTGCTCCCAGACCCTCTCCGTGGCCTCTGGAGAAAAATCAGCTCCTGCAGCCGCTCGAAGGCACAGCCAGACCAAACATCTTGTTCTCAAAGGTGCTGCAAGACTCTTGACACCAGGCTGTAACACTCAGTCCTCTGTGGCCACACCAGGAAGGCTGTGTAAGGAGGCCGTTTCTAAAGCAGAGAATCAGGACATAAACTCAGATGCGGGGAATATTATCTAATCACTGAGCTGCACAGGAACATTTTCTATGTTTAGTTACTTTTGCTTTGTTTTGGTGATCCGTTTCTTATTTGGCAAACATCTTTCTTTGCTACCTGGACTGCTTGGGAATGCAAGGGTGTCAAATAAAGTTATAAAACAGCAACAATCGTGTAGGAATTGGAAAACAGAAAAGTCCTAAGTATCAATCCTAAGAGTCGAGGAAGGCCACCGCAGAAGTTTGACCAATAGACAGAAGCCCTTGGTGAATTTAAGCACAGAAAAAGGGCCACCCAAAAGGCCAGTAACGTCTCAGACAGATCACTCTGCTCAACAGAGAGAGGACATCAACATCGACACAAATAGGAAGGTCCAACATTATATATTGTACTAAACACAAACATGAAAGGTTACATTTCTGCATTTGATTGTGGAAGCCCGGGTTTGCTGGCTTGTGTCTGTCCTATACAAACTGCAAGGGAAAAGCCCTTTTATTTTGAAATAAATAAATAAACAGAAACACAGACACAGACACACACAGAATGTTGAATGCCTGATTTGAATGTTAGCTTTGGAACATTTTCCAAAAGGGTTTAACCCTCTGCTTCGGCTCCAGCTAGATTGTCATTTGTTAACAACTCCTCATCTGCAATCCGGGGTGGTCGCCCCAGCCGGATCACCCAGGAGGGCCACCCTCAAGGGAGGAAGGACGGATACCCTGCCTCACCTGCTCTTCCAGTCGTCTGAACCTCTCAAAGAAGGGCTTCCGTGGGTCCCCAGTCCCCGCCTGCTGGAGCACGATGCCCTGGAGGCAGGCCAGAAGCAGGAAGAGGCTCAGCAGGCGCTGGGCTCCCCCCATCCTGGCAGCCTCACAGGGTCTTTCTGGTGGAGGACCCTGACTCTGGGCGATTGAGAGGTTCGCCTTCTGAGGCTTGGAGGGTTTTGGCTGCTACGACGCCTGCCTCCCGTCCTCAACGCTCCAAGATCCTCCCTCCGAGCTAAAAAGAGACCCTTGTTTGTTCTCAGAATAGATGAGATCCCCAGACTTCTCTCTGGCATTCCCAAGAAGCCAAGTTTAGTTTTGAAGCCGTCGCCAGCCACAATCCTAGGGGAAGGAGAAGGCGGGGAGCACCCGGCTGGTCTTCTTGGGGGCTCTTGGCGGGACGCTGCAATGAGCAGAGGCAAAAAGAGGAACTTGGAAGCTGGTGTGAGAGTAAATAGACTTGCTTTCCCTCTTAAACCAGTTCTGCTCCTAATGGCAGGATAGCTGCTTGTCTCGGTGGGCTCTCCGTGGCCAAAGCGGCTGACTAGCAGGAAGGAGTGACCGATGAGGACCAAGGAGACTTAACACCCACTCACTCCCACCCGAATCAACCTCCTGGGCTGGCTGGGAAGCAGGGGCGACCCTGAGGGCTTCCCCTCTCCATGGGGGAGCAGCAATGGCATTCAGTCTAGGGAGGCTCCTTCACTTGAGGCCCTTTGCCTCCACAAGTTTGCATATTTTACCTAGCAATGCAACAGGATTTCACCCATCGTAGCTGTCACCAATCCACGATTATCTGGCTTATCATCCGCATGATAGTTGCCTTATTAATTGTTCCCATAGAGCCTGGTGCTTTAAAAATGCCTCCGATTATGTGACTCAGCCTGTAAATGCTCTCCCACTCTGTCCCAAAGGGTGGTCTCTCTCTCTCTCTCTCTCTGTGTGTGTGTGTGTGTTTTCGCAGGAGGGGACAGACAGGTCTGTTCACCAGCATCTCTCTCTTCAGCCAGGGTCTGTCAGTTTGGCCCGCCAAGGTCAGCCATCCGTTTGGATAAACTCCTTGCCGTGAACTGGTCCCTGCCTGGATTCGTGGGGCCATCGTGGTGAGGCTCGATACCGGGTGCCAAAGGAGGCCCGGACAACTGGGCAGGTCGTCCGGAGCAGGGAGGGGGCCAGGCGACACCTGCCTGCTTTGGCTTCTTTTTTAGAAGGAGGAGAGCAGCCAAACTCCGGCGGAAACTGCCCCGAAGCCCTGCTTTAGGAGGATGTGCTCCCGGTCCATCCTTTTATTTGACTATTATGTGGTTTTGACGTTCCCACATCCTCCTCCCCCCCCCCCCCCCCCGGAGGGGTTCCCATCTGCTGCTGCTGCTGTCCTGGCCCAAGGAGCGTGCCGTGGCACAGGGGTGCGCCCTTTCGCAGGAGCAACTGGGCAGGTCGTCCGGAGCAGGGAGGGGGCCAGGCGACACCTGCCTGCTTTGGCTTCTTTTTTAGAAGGAGGAGAGCAGCCAAACTCCGGCGGAAACTGCCCTGAAGCCCTGCTTTAGGAGGATGTGCTCCCGGCCCATCCTTTTATTTGACTATTCTGTGGTTTTGACGTTCCCACATCCTCCTCCCCCCCCCCCCGGAGGGGCTCCCATCTGCTGCTGCTGCTGCTCTCCTGGCCCAAGGAGCGTGCTGTGGCACAGGGGTGCGCCCTTTCGCAGGAGTGGCTGCAGGGCCAGGGGCTCCTTTTCCCTGCCCCAGAAAAATGGGTCTTTTGGGGACCATGCACAAGAGGCGACGTCTTGTATTGCTGTTAGGATTTGAGTCACAAGTTGTTCGCTCGACCAGCCAGCAGCTGAGGTGGACGTGCTGGTGACCTTGTCGTGTTTGGACGAGGACCTGGGTCCGGTGACTAGCTGAACATCATACAGTGCAGAAAAAGGCCTCTGCTCTCATCCCACTGTGTTGTTTTGCCATGAAGGGATGCACCCTTCTCCATCCATCACCATAACAATGGCACACACACTCTTTCGCTCAGTTGTCTGGACGTGAGCCAAGCCACCCTGTCTGGTCCTAAATGGCTTGTGTTTCCAAGGAGGTGCTTCTTACTGGATTTTGGAGGAAGAGGTAGACTGCCTTTGTGGCTGGAGGCTCTGTTTCTTTAATGGGGCTGTTGGAAGCTCTGCCCTGCATTCATTCCTCTACGGAATGGAGCCTCCAGCCACAAAGGCAGTCTACCTCTGACTGGAGTCCAATCCTTACGGGGAGACCAAACCACCGGCCGGCCTCCCTCCAAGATCGGCATCAGGAGGGAAGCCACTCCCTGGAGGGCTTCGGGTTGGGAGCCGGAAGTGTCCTCTGTGCCTTCTGGCGCTTCGAATCCCCACCCCTTTAGACCGCCCGCCTTCGTACTCCAGCCGGCTAAAAAGCCCCTCCCCTTTCGCCTGCCGCGAGCAAGCGCATGCCCAGTCGCTCTCAGCGGTGCCCCACCCACGCAACGCCAAAAGGGAGGGGGGTGGGAGTCCCTCAGTGGGCAGGACGCATGCGCGGGCCGGAAGTCGAGGCCGGCTGGGCCTGGCGGAAGGGAGGAGGTGGGTCCCGCCGTCGCCCCGGTGAGGGAATTGGGGGTGGGGG